AAGAACATATAGCTGATGTGAAGCATCAACGTTCCGGGAAGTCTGCAGTTTGCGATCATATCCTAGACGGCCCCAACCATTACATCAGATTTGATAGACCACAAATCCTCGCGAACGAACACCGATTCCTACCAAGGATGATATTTGAGGCTATTGAAATTAAAAAATATCCTAATTTCAATAGAGAAGGAGGCTGGGTACTACCACCTGCTTGGGATCCTATAATCAATAAAATTAAAACTAAACCCAAGACTGCAAGTCCTCAGGACATAGTCAGTTCATTTTGCATAGATCGGACCATAAACAATAATTAAAAAAAGCTGAAGGTACTCCGGGTTTAACAATGACATCGGGACGTCAGTCATCTCAGTCCCCCGTGACCATGGGTGCTGGAAAGCACCCGAAACGTCGGGAATTAAAAATAATAGTAAAATAAACGCGATAAAATCCGTAAAAGTAGTTTTAATCAATAAAAAGTATCTAGCAAAAAGTTTTCAGCGCCTTTAATCCATCTGCCACCTGGGTATTTTTCCTGAGCGTGCTTTACACGCGATGATTCGGTCATTTATAATTAATTTCTTATTATTTATTTTAATGACGTAAACGAATATTGTATACTGTTAAGTACATAACAGTACTTGGACAGGAAGTATCACTATCCGGTTCAGTTTACGGTCAAAAAAACGAATTCATCACAATCTATTAACGAGTATATAGATACTTGTAACTCTTTCGTTTTAGAGGATTCTACAACGTGTGAGTACCATTTCTGTCGATGGAATTTATAAACTGATAAAGAAAAACATATTTTTTTAATTAAAAAGTCTACAATATTCTTTTATGTTCAAACCAAACAAGAGAGGCGGCGCAGCGTTGGCGCATCACTTACTCTGCAATAGTAAGCAAAGAAACGCTCAAATGAACAAACCATTTTTATAGAGCAAGGGTGACAAACGAGCACACAGTCCACCTGATGGTAATTGAATGCTATGATCCTCGATTAAGAATTAAAATGCAGGTGCGTGGTAACCCTTGAGGTACAATATGAAACGTCTAATTTTCAGTAAAAAGAATATCCGGTTTTCGACACTCACCGTTCGAAACACTATAACATTAAGCTGCTTTTTTAAACTGGTATCATGTGAGACCGTTGTCCTTCTCCAATCGAGCACACCCATTCGTGTTGCAGCCTTAATAATGCTGCAGCGTTCTTTAGCACGTTTAGGGTTCTCTCAGTGACTTCATCATGACAAGTTTCCGAGATGGATAAGAAAATGAAGAAAGTGTCGTGGTTTGAGTGTGTGGTTCTTAGTGTGTAAAAAAATAAATATACTTCAGAGAAATAAAAATCATTTTTTGAGTGAAACATTTTCAAAATTCTCATTATGAAGAGAGGTAAAGTACTACATATATTTAATATTTACGTTACATGGCTTTAATTATAAAACAAATGACAAGTTAGAGCTCATCTCCAAATCATCATGTACAGGCATGTCTGCGTTCATTAACTCATAATTATTTTGTAATTACTGAAGTCTTGTCGACGTAAAGAGAGTTATTTATAATATAAATTATAATGGCGTTAGAAAACAGCTTGGAGGTATACTTAATGTTTATCGTCCTTAATATTATAATAAATTATCGCTCACTTAAGTATTAATTATCCCTATATCCGTCTCTTTTTATTGATATTTAATAAAAATGAGAGAAAGGGAGAGAGAGAAAGCAAAATTTACGTCGATTTTTATGAGTAAGGCCCTACGTCTTTAAAATATTTATTTAATAATATTATGATGATACTGTGAAGTCGTAATTGGTAGATCGCACGAATAAGGCTTCCTCTCATTACTAAGGTGACAAGAACGTGTCCATCGCGCTGCCTTAATACGTATTGGTGGATATAATATCTTTGTTTTTGATTTCTCAGATATGCAGGGTTGCCCACGGTGTTTTCCTTCACCGCTGAGCATGTGGTTAATCGTCATTTTAAATTGCAAATGAAGTTTTAGGCTCGTACACTATTTATAAAATAATATTTAACACTATTTATAAAAAGTTATTAATAGCAAAGAACGCAATAAAATAGATTATTATTTTATTAAAGTAAAACAATAAAATAAGAAAAAAAATAATTTAAGACGGTATAATAAGCTTTGATACCTTGAAAACGGAAAATATGCCACACCATTTTTCACAAATGTCACATCGTTTTTATGTGGATCCTAGCTAATAAATTTTAATATTTCATAGTGGATCTCCGCAATGTAAAGCCTGATTCTTTAATTTAATGATATGTAATGTATTCTTTAATTTAATGGTATGAAAGGCTCTACTTAAGCTACCGTTTATCGTTACAGCCCATCAAAGTCCACTGCTGTACATAGGTTTTCCCCCATAGATTATCTCATGGGGGGGGGGATTTTTGCTCCAGTTGCCACGCTTGTCAAGCAGGTTGGCTACCGCATTTTTTTCTTTACCATGTAGCTGCGGTGTAAAATTATCCACTGCCCCATATCGTCCTGTGGCTGTCGTATGAGGCGACAGAAGGAAACAAATGGGTATCAGCATAGAATACTATAATACATACATAATAGAACGGGGGTGTGGGCGGAGCCCGTGTAGCCACTAAAATGCCACAAAACGTCAATTCACACGTATATATGACAACACGAGATGTGTTTTGACGTTACAATCGTTTCTAAATTTCGCATGCAAATTATTTAGAAAATGCCGAATCGCATGCCATTTACAAATAAATATGTATTAAATTCCGTCTATCAACACATCGAACCGGATATGTAGTATTGATTAACTGATAATACGACGTAATTGCTTGTATATGTGCTCCCGGCGACGCCGAACCTCGGTACAAAATAAGTTTGACAGCCATTCTATTGTGTATTATAGTATTCTTTGGGTAGCAGCGTCTTCTTAATAATGACTAAAAATAAAAACTGCGGTTCCACTGAATTATTTCCCCGAAATAACGTTTGCTAATTTTCAAGGAGCAATTTAAATTGGTTTTGTTGGCCCTATTTGTACACAATGTGTTGCATCATGCAATTGTAGCGCACAATTCTCAAGAGTAACGACTCTCAATTTGCACTAAATTGGTCTTAACTCTGACACAATGTAAATTAATTACGCTGAATTGCCACTGCACTCTGTTCATTTTAGCATAAGATTTTAAGTAAGCAAACTATAAATTAGGTTCTCTATGGGTGCAACTAAGTGATCACGCAACCATGAAGGTGCTGCTCGTGGCCGGTTTTAATATTTCATGTCTGGACTTAATTTATATCATCATTTATCGTGAATTAAAAAATTCTCGAAAATTTTTGTTGTCGGTCGCATATTATATGATACTTATTAGACGATATAGATTTTCTTAGGATATCTTAGAATTTCCCCGACCATATATGAATTGCACAAGTAATAATTATTTTAGGCCATACAATTTGTGCCTCGGGATTTGAACACGTGGATCACAGTGGCACAGCCATAGAAATACAATATTTTTTATCGAACTAGAATTCTAACTCTCATAATCGACAGGCGCACGTACGATTTCTAGATCAACGATACAAGCATCAATCAATAGTTCTTATTAAGGTGTTATAAAATTTGTATTTTTCAAAACGTTCAATTTTTATGAATATTATAATATGCACTTTGTAACTGCAGTGGTTACACAGTACTCACTATAGATTTTAGTTCGTGAAAAGTCATTAAAAATGAACCACGATATCTTCTTCTTCTTCTTCAACCTAGCGTTTATCCTGGTTGCTCATTCCGCCCAACGCGGGAGAACCCAGGGTCCGCTTTCCTACACTTCCTCCTCCACTCTGCCCGGTCTTCGGCGTCCCTCGCAACTAGCCCATTGGCGCGCATGTCATCCTGCACGACATCAAGCCAGTGTTTCTTGGGCCGTCCTCTACTCCTGGTACCAGGTAGGGTCATGTCTAGGCATTTGTTTCCCATGTAGCTTGCCGGTCGTCGTAAGAAGCGGAGGCGACTTTCCTGCAGCTTGTCAGCAATGTCACGGACATGGAGGCTGCGGCGGATGTATGTATTCTGTACATGGTCTTTCCGCGTGACGCCACACATCCACCGCAGCATGTTCATCTCCGTGACATGCAACAACTGCCGGTGTCGCTCCAGCACCGGCCACGCCTCACTGCCGTACGTAAGGACAGGCCTTATGATAGTCTTATAGACCTGTCCCTTCAGCTTGACCGGCATTTTGGGGTCACAAATGACACCCGTCACCTCGCGCCATTTCGCCCAGGCCGCTGATATACGGTACTGGTTGGGTGTTAGGGGCTCCGCTAAGATCTTAGAGCCCAAGCCAACCTCCCCTGCACTTGGCACACCTACTGGACAACGGAAAGGGCTCTGGCGATGCCACTCCCCTGGGATTCGTCCTAGGGGTTCGGGGGTCAGACGGCAGTCAGCCCGGTAATTGGTACTAAGCCACTCAAAAATGGAAAGTAAAAGAAAGAGATATACGTTTAGGACTAGGGCGTCGCCGCATAACGCATGGGGATCGCCTTAACCCTGCGACAAGTATGCGAGGGCTATCGGGCCCCGTGCGAGCCCGGCTAAAGACGATAGCACCAACTACGAAGATTCGCTTTGCAAACTGGAACATTGGCACGCTTATGCGACGTTCCACAGAACTTGCGGCCAGGCGTAAAGTGGCAGAGGCATTCCTGTAGGAGACACGGTGGAAGGTCAATAGGAGCCGGAATATTGGGCACGGCTACAAGCTGATCTATACAGGCTCTTCTGGTGGGAAGAACGGTGTGGCAGTGGTGCTTGCCGAGCATTTCCACGATAGCGTCTTGTAAGTTAGACGCATATGCGACCGACTTATGGTAGTAAGGTTGCTTATTGAGGGGGTCGTGACCCACTTAATAAGTTTAATAAGTACCTTCGCCCCACAGGTCGGCTGCAGCGACGCGGATAAGACGCTGTTTTGGGATTGGTTTGGAGATGTACTACGCGGCATACCGTTGTCCCACGATGTCGTTTTGGATGGCGACCTGAACGGTCATGTGGGCGAGGTGCAGGTGGAGTATGAACGTCTCAACGGCGGCTATGGTTACGTCCAAAGAAACGCAGAGGGGGAAACCATTCTCAGAACCTGCACTGCAGCTGACCTGGCCGTGGTGAACACGTTCTTCAAAAAGAAAACCGAGCACCTGATTACCTACAGGAGTGGTCGGAACGCCACGCCACGGAGAAGTCATATGAGTCAAGGGGCCAACTGTAAGATCATACCCGGTGAGTGTCTCACTGCCCAACACCGACATCTTGTCATGGACCTCTGCGTAAAATCCCGTCGTAGACACGCCGAACATTGCCGCCGTTAAATCAAGTGGTGGCTGCTGAATCAAACCAGACACTCAGAGTTTGACTCTGCTGCTGGGGATATTAGTCTCACAGCAGGCAAGTCCGTTCAAGAGTGCTGGAAAACCATTCAGACAGCAATCACAAAGACGGCAAAGCAAGTCCTAGGCGTGGCGAAAGGGGGTCGCAAAATCGACAAGGAGACCTGGTGGTGGGACGCTACAGTCCAGGGTTCATTACTGGAGAAGAAAGCGCTCTTCAAGACGTGGCAAGGGACCAAATCTCCTGAAGATCGCGCATCTTACAAGACGGCGAAAGGAGCTGCCAAGAAAGCTGTATCCAGAGCCAGGCGTGACCACTTGCAACCATTATATGCTAAGTTGGACACTCCTGAAAGGCACAAGCTCATATATAAACTGGCGCGCTCTAGGTTCAAAGCAGCGCAAGATATTACTCGCTGCTGTAGCGTCAACGGCCCTAATGGCGAGCTCCTGTACGATGATCGTGCGGTGAAGGAGAGATGGCGCTCTTATTTCCACGTTTTGCTGAATACTCAGCACCGGGAAGTGCACCCTCCTGAACAACTTCCGAACCATGGACACGTGCCACCGATTACGCCTGACGAGGTCCTCGCATCTCTTCGTCACATGGAGAATCGGAAAGTTGTCGGACCGGACGAGGTGCCAATTGAAGCGTGGAAAGCGCTGGGGGCTCGTGGTGTGTGCATTCTTACTTATACCTTTATAATAGAATCCTGAGCGACCGAATAATGCCCGATCAGTGGCGGCTTAGTATAATAACGCCGGTCCACAAGAGTAAAGGGTCCGTTCAGGATTGCAGTAATTACCGCGGTATAAAGGTGACGTCACACACCATGAAGCTCTTTGAGTGCATTATTGACACCAGGATCCGACAGGAGTGTACAGTATCGAACTCCCAGTACCGCTTCCAACCAGAACGCGGTACCATGGACCCTATATTCGCCCTAAGGATCCTCATGGAGAAGCACAGGCAAAAGAATATGCCTCTGCATTTTTTATTCCTAGACCTGCAGAAGGCCTTTGACTGTGTTCCTAGGGAGATGATCTGGTGGGCGTTGCGGTCGAAGTTGGCACCAGAGACCTACGTGGAAATCGTACGTGACATGTACCGCAACTCCGATTCAATAGTCAGGACCGCTGTTGGTGATACCACCCCCTTCCGCATAACCGTAGGCGTGCATCAAGGCTCCGTCTTAAGCCCCTATCTCTTCAGTGTGATATTAGACGAACTGTCAGCAAGCGTACAGAAACTACCGCAGCCTTGGCTGCTTATGTACGCTGATGATATCGCACTGGTAGATGGGGACAAAGGACGGCTCACCAGACGCGTGCACGCATGGAGGGAGGCGCTTGAGAACGGTGGGCTGAAGCTAAACGTAGCGAAGATGGAGTATATGACCTGCAACAGCACAGATCTGACGTCTCTCCGTATAGGCGACGACACCGTCGAGCGCACGGACAACTTCAGATACCTCGGATCTGTGCTTGATGCGTCCGGGGACATTGATCGCGACATCAAGGCCCGTTTATATAACCACGATATCTATAATTGAAATATTCACAACGTTTCGAAAACTTCAAAATATTGATACGTGGAAACATTATGTAGCAAAATTCCGCCCATTTATTTGAAGTTTACAAATGATTGTTTCCTATAATATCACACTACGGAGTGCAAACGCAAGGGAAGTGCTTTACAATCAATCATACTTAGTAGTAATTATTATTATCTTAATAGTAATTATTTATATCTTAATTTATAAAAATCATATATTACGATGTTCACGTTAATCTGTAGCTTATAATGTAATTTTATAAATGTGTACCTATATCGCCTGCTCAATATTTTTTAATTGCGCATTTAAGGTTTTTTTACAGGGAAAAGGGTCATCGAATCAACGTCGAGAACAAGGTCTGTCTGGCCACTTAGTGTATAAATATATTTTATATTATTATACCTAACTTGCCGTATAGTGACAGTGGAGAATCCACTACTCCACATCATCTCGCGGGAGCATAAGATGCAACTGATGTAAATGAAACCGATGACGGACAGCAGCTTCTTCTACATAACTACTTACAATTATTAAAAACTACGGATGGCAACCCGCTTGCCAAGCATAGGAACTATGGTCTTTGATGCTGGCCTATGTTTAGCAGTGGATTTTGATATTTTATATTTCAGTTTTTTTTTATAGAAGAGGGGGCAAACGAGCATGCGGCTCACCTGATTTTAAGTGACTACCGCCGCCCATGATCAACCGCAACACCAGGGAAATTGCAGGTGCGTTACCGGCCCTTTAGAAGGATTGAGCTCTTTTCTTGAAGGTCCCCAGGTCGTATCGGTCCGGAAAAATCGCCGGTGGTAAACTATTCCACAGAGAGGTTGTACGCGGAAGAAAACTCCTTTTGAAACGTACTGTGGTGGACCGCCAAGCATCCAAATGGTGTGGATGGTATCGGGACGTTTGCCGCGTAGTGCGTTCACGAAATTTGGCGGCTGGGATTAATCCGAACAATTCCTCAGAGCACTTTCCATGGTATATGCGAAATAAAATGCAAAGAGATGCAACATCTCTTCGCAGTGCCAGTGAAACGAGCCGATCGAAAAGCACTCGGTCGTCGACGATTCGAGCCGCTCTGCGCTGGATGCGGTCAAGCGGAAGTAGCTGGTACTGGGGAGCCCCAGCCCAGAGATGGGAACAGTATTCCTTGTGCGGCCGAACCTGCGCCTTGTAAAGTCGCAGGCGGTGTGCCGGCATGAAATACTGTCCCGCTCTGCTGAGCACGCCAAGCTTTTTAGAGGCCAATTTGGCCTTCTCTTCCAAGTGACCACGAAGCTGTACGTCACTCGATATGTCAACGCCGAGGATTCCGATACTGACTGAGGCAACAAGGAGAGTGCCTTGAAACTGAGGAGATACGACAAAGGGGTTCTTTTTTAGCGGTTAACGCGCAAACTTGTGTGTTCTGGGGGTTAAACTGGACTAGATTTAGTCGCCCCCAACCCGAGACTCTGTTCAGCAAAGACTCGACTTCAGACACAAGTTTGTCCCGGCACTCGGGACGTTTTCCCGAGAAATATTGGCTCGGCCGGTGTAAAGAGCATCACCAGTGCTGTCATCTGTATAGCAATGAATGTTACGGGTTTGCAACATATCATCAGGTGTGTTATCACATTAATAAAATAAAAATGCTATCACAATTTACTGTATCTTATATTACATAAATAACCTACCAACTAACTAGGGTAAATTTCATTAAAATATATAATCATATATTAGCTCAAAACAACGAATTTTGTAAGCATGAACGAATTGCATTTCTTATTTTGCTACTTTTAATGTACACATGTACAAAATTAAGTTTGATTAACGATTATACATTATACAGAAAAGGATCGAGGAATGCAAAAAATCTATACTCAACACACCTGCCGCCCACGAACCCAGGGGAATCCCCTGGTGTTGCAGTTGTTCGTGGGCAGCATTCAACACATTTTTTAAGGTGAGCCGCATGCTCGTTTGCCCCCCAGTTCTATAATAAAAAATATCTTTGCATCTTTTTATTAGTGAACTCTTCTATAGTGTAAAATTGAAAGCTGGAATAGTAACGGACTCACAATGAATAATCAAAACGAATATATACTATATTGAAGGAATTAGTGCTTAACTTTTTAATTAAATTTAACTTTTTACCTAAAATATTTCACTTAACGCGTTGTGAATCTAATAAAAATATTAATTAATTTGCAACCTTCCGCTAACTAAATACAATGATGTGTCTTACCTGGATTAAAGAGCACCTCCCGCCCTCCCTCAATTGCATGCAACAATCCCATCACCACTAATCCCAGCACCACTACTCCCTACACCACTACTCCCGGCACCACTACTCCCTACACCAATATTCCAGGAAAGACACAACATCAACGATAATACGACATGTGTTTCGCCTCTACACGAGACATCCTCAGGTGATGTAGATTCTACGGCGGCTGACCGCCAATTCAAGTTGTGAATCTTTACATAAAATACAATTAAAGTAAGAAGAGATTATTTGCATTATTACTATTAAGACCTAAACCATTACTTAATGTGGTAAATTAAAAAAGTGACTTTCAATAAGTATTTTTATAATCTACATTGAATAAAAAAGTTTCCATTTCTATTTCTATTTCTTACGAACAGATAGCCAGAAATACTAGGTTATGAATTTATCCGAAACTCTTTTTTTATTCAAATTCAAATTCAAATTGTTTATTGCATGTCACATTACAAATTTAAGATGGTACAATTTTAATCGGTATACATGTGACGCCCCGCAAGGGCATAGCAACACTAGAGGGCTAACTATTTTCGTATTATCTAATTTTTAAACATAAATTACAAATTATCATATCATCGACATTCGATATTATTTTATATAAATTAATTTAATTTGAAACACAATGAATAGTCTAAGTATTCTTACTTTATCGTTATTTATCGTCAAAAAATTCATTTAAATTATAGTAACATTTATTAATAAGAAATATTTTTAATTGTTTATTAAATTGCACAGGATTTTCCAGGATTTTTATGGAATTTGGTAAATGGTTATAAATCTTTATTGACATAACGTGAGGGCTGTTTGAAACTAATTTTAATTTGGAGAAGGGTATTTTAAGCTTATATAAATTTCTATTATTTCTTTTAGTCTTTTTAATAGGTGAGTAGAGTTTTGGGTGCTTCCTAACAAATTTACAAGATTCGAGGATGTAGATAGATGTAAGTGTCAAAATCTTATTTTTAATGAAGTGGGGTTTACATGACTCCATTTTGTCCAAATTTATCAATATTCGTAGACACTTCTTTTGTAATATAAATAATTTGTTTATATCACAAGAGTTTCCCCACAAGATGATGCCATAGGAGAGTACG